TAGAAATACTGTGTGTACTACTACAAGTACTGAGTATACTACTAGAAGTACTGAGTGTACTACAACAAGTACTGAGCGTACTACTATAAGTACTGTGCGTATTACTTCAAGTACTGAGTGTACTACAACAAGTACTGAGTGTACTACTACAAGTACTGTGCATACTACTACAAGTACTGAGTATACTACTAGAAGTACTGTGTGTACTACTACAAGTACTGTGTGTACTACTACAAGTACTGAGTATACTACTAGAAGTACTGTGTGTACTACTACAAGTACTGTGTGTACTACTACAAGTACTGAGTATACTACTAGAAGTACTGTGTGTACTACTACAAGTACTGTGTGTACTACTACAAGTACTGAGTATACTACTAGAAATACTGTGTGTACTACTACAAGTACTGAGTATACTACTAGAAGTACTGTGTGTACTACTACAAGTACTGTGTGTACTACTACAAGTACTGTGTGTACTACTACAAGTACTGAGTATACTACTAGAAATACTGTGTGTACTACTACAAGTACTGAGTATACTACTAGAAGTACTGTGTGTACTACTACAAGTACTGTGTGTACTACTACAAGTACTGTGTGTACTACTACAAGTACTGAGTATACTACTAGAAGTACTGTGTGTACTACTACAAGTACTGTGTGTACTACTACAAGTACTGTGTGTACTACTTCAAGTACTGAGTGTACTACTACAAGTACTGTGTGTACTACAACAAGTACTGAGTATACTACTAGAAGTACTGTGTGTACTACTACAAGTACTGTGTGTACTACTACAAGTACTGTGTGTACTACTACAAGTACTGTGCGTACTACTACAAGTACTGAGTATACTACTAGAAGTACTGTGTGTACTACTACAAGTACTGTGTGTACTACTACAAGTACTGTGTGTACTACTACAAGTACTGTGTGTACTACTACAAGTACTGAGTATACTACTAGACATACTGTGTGTACTACTACAAGTACTGAGTATACTACTAGAAGTACTGTGTGTACTACTACAAGTACTGTGTGTACTACTACAAGTACTGTGTGTACTACTACAAGTACTGAGTATACTACTAGAAATACTGTGTGTACTACTACAAGTACTGAGTATACTACTAGAAGTACTGTGTGTACTACTAGAAGTACTGTGTGTACTACTACAAGTACTGTGTGTACTACTACAAGTACTGAGTATACTACTAGAAGTACTGTGTGTACTACTACAAGTACTGTGTGTACTACTTCAAGTACTGAGTGTACTACTACAAGTACTGAGTATACTACTAGAAGTACTGTGTGTACTACTACAAGTACTGTGTGTACTACTACAAGTACTGTGTGTACTACTACAAGTACTGAGTATACTACTAGAAGTACTGTGTGTACTACTACAAGTACTGTGTGTACTACTACAAGTACTGTGTGTACTACTTCAAGTACTGAGTGTACTACTACAAGTACTGTGTGTACTACAACAAGTACTGAGTATACTACTAGAAGTACTGTGTGTACTACTACAAGTACTGTGTGTACTACAACAAGTACTGAGTATACTACTAGAAGTACTGTGTGTACTACTACAAGTACTGTGTGTACTACTACAAGTACTGAGTGTACTACAACAAGTACTGAGTGTACTACTACAAGTACTGTGTGTACTACTACAAGTAATGTGTGTACTACAACAAGTACTGAGTGTACTACTACAAGTACTGTGTGTACTACTACAAGTACTGTGTGTACTACAACAAGTACTGAGTGTACTACTACAAGTACTGTGTGTACTACTACAAGTACTGTGTGTACTACTACAAGTACTGTGTGTACTACAACAAGTACTGAGTGTACTACTACAAGTACTGTGTGTACTACTACAAGTACTGTGTGTACTACTACAAGTACTGAGTATACTACTAGAAATACTGTGTGTACTACTACAAGTACTGAGTATACTACTAGAAGTACTGTGTGTACTACTACAAGTACTGTGTGTACTACTACAAGTACTGTGTGTACTACTACAAGTACTGAGTATACTACTAGAAATACTGTGTGTACTACTACAAGTACTGAGTATACTACTAGAAGTACTGAGTGTACTACAACAAGTACTGAGCGTACTACTATAAGTACTGTGCGTATTACTTCAAGTACTGAGTGTACTACAACAAGTACTGAGTGTACTACTACAAGTACTGTGCATACTACTACAAGTACTGAGTATACTACTAGAAGTACTGTGTGTACTACTACAAGTACTGTGTGTACTACTACAAGTACTGAGTATACTACTAGAAGTACTGTGTGTACTACTACAAGTACTGTGTGTACTACTACAAGTACTGAGTATACTACTAGAAGTACTGTGTGTACTACTACAAGTACTGTGTGTACTACTACAAGTACTGAGTATACTACTAGAAATACTGTGTGTACTACTACAAGTACTGAGTATACTACTAGAAGTACTGCGTGTACTACTACAAGTACTGTGTGTACTACTACAAGTACTGTGTGTACTACTACAAGTACTGAGTATACTACTAGAAATACTGTGTGTACTACTACAAGTACTGAGTATACTACTAGAAGTACTGTGTGTACTACTACAAGTACTGTGTGTACTACTACAAGTACTGTGTGTACTACTACAAGTACTGAGTATACTACTAGAAGTACTGTGTGTACTACTACAAGTACTGTGTGTACTACTACAAGTACTGTGTGTACTACTTCAAGTACTGAGTGTACTACTACAAGTACTGTGTGTACTACAACAAGTACTGAGTATACTACTAGAAGTACTGTGTGTACTACTACAAGTACTGTGTGTACTACTACAAGTACTGTGTGTACTACTACAAGTACTGTGCGTACTACTACAAGTACTGAGTATACTACTAGAAGTACTGTGTGTACTACTACAAGTACTGTGTGTACTACTACAAGTACTGTGTGTACTACTACAAGTACTGAGTATACTACTACAAGTACTGTGTGTACTACTACAAGTACTGAGTATACTACTAGAAGTACTGTGTGTACTACTACAAGTACTGTGTGTACTACTACAAGTACTGAGTATACTACTAGAAATACTGTGTGTACTACTACAAGTACTGAGTATACTACTAGAAGTACTGAGTGTACTACAACAAGTACTGAGCGTACTACTATAAGTACTGTGCGTATTACTTCAAGTACTGAGTGTACTACAACAAGTACTGAGTGTACTACTACAAGTACTGTGCATACTACTACAAGTACTGAGTATACTACTAGAAGTACTGTGTGTACTACTACAAGTACTGTGTGTACTACTACAAGTACTGAGTATACTACTAGAAGTACTGTGTGTACTACTACAAGTACTGTGTGTACTACTACAAGTACTGAGTATACTACTAGAAGTACTGTGTGTACTACTACAAGTACTGTGTGTACTACTACAAGTACTGTGTGTACTACTACAAGTACTGAGTATACTACTAGAAATACTGTGTGTACTACTACAAGTACTGAGTATACTACTAGAAGTACTGTGTGTACTACTACAAGTACTGTGTGTACTACTACAAGTACTGTGTGTACTACTACAAGTACTGAGTATACTACTAGAAGTACTGTGTGTACTACTACAAGTACTGTGTGTACTACTACAAGTACTGTGTGTACTACTTCAAGTACTGAGTGTACTACTACAAGTACTGTGTGTACTACAACAAGTACTGAGTATAC